ACTAGTGCGGCGCACGAACCCGATGAAGAGGGTCTCCATCTCGAACAATGGGATGGACAGACAGTGTAAAGTTGGAGGGTGGAGTAAAAAAGCGAGAAGCAGATGTTAGACAAGAAGCTCCTGAAATCGCCGCCGACGCCGACGCCGTCCCTCTCCGTGAGTATTCCCCTCTCCTGCCGCCGTGGTATCGTAGCGTTGAGCATTCATCCCCCAAGCCAACGAGACTCATCCAAGAAACAACAACAAGACCATGTGAGAGTCAAAGTCTGCTTCCCCCAGAAACATCTGATTCCCGAGGCCTCTTGCCGCCCGCGGAAACAAATGCAAAAAAAGATGAGATGACTTTTCTGGGTGAACCGCCCGTATGCTCCCAGCTCTCAATCCCGCCCCCGACGGCTTCATGTGATCCGAATCGCGCCTCGTATCCCCCCAATCTTTCCGGCATCCAACCCCCATCCCTTTTCGTATGCAGGCGTTGCGCTGCATACAACCCACCATCAAGTCTGCAACCACCACCACCACCAACAGCACCTCCACCACAGAGAAGGGAGGAGGGAACCGCTCGTCGTTCACATCATTAGGAAAAAAAGGCCATTCGCCAATCGCGCGCGAGAGGGTAGGTCCCCTGCGATTTCGACAACAAGAGCCTCCAAGAAAGATCGTCCCCCTCCCTCCTCTCTACAATGTACATGCATACATGCAGTCACGATATGAACGGCGAACGGCGTCTCGCTTGGCGGGTTGCACCGATTTGCAGAAGAGCCAAGAAAACCCAAGAGGAGACCAGCACTCGGGACACTGAGACTCCGGGGTCCATTAGTGCGAATGAGTCTGCGATCTTCTTCGCGCTGCCGCCATTCGTTTCAATGCTGCAGGTGTTTGAATAGTGCGAAGGACTGGGATTTGAAAGGTTCAAGAAAATCAGAAGATAGAAAGAATCAACAAAAAAAGAGGTAGGCCAAAACCACCTTGTTCCTTGTACGGAGGAAACGCCGCACCTATCGGGCCTTTGGAAACCAAATCTTGTCTCTTTGCTGCCATCGGTCGATGGCAGGTAGGACCTTGTCAAGTTGTCATTTTTTGCTCACCTACCTTACCGCAGACAGTAGCCTGCTTGCTACCGCTTTTGCCCCGCAGCCGACTCCGCATCCATTGGAGATGGTTGAATTGACTTTTTGGATTTTGGATTTTGGATTATTTATTTTTTCGAGATCCTCCCCCAGGGGCCGGAGCAGATGGCTCTGTCTGCGGAAGCGATTCGGCCTTTTTGGTTTTGACAACCCCGTCCGTCACCAAAAAGTTGTAATGCGTGGGGAAAGTGTAGAGCACACACCCAAGCTTCTCGCATCTTCCAAGCAAAAGTGAAGTCATGAGCAGAAATATCGTGCAAGAAACTATGCCGCGGATTTGCGACCCTCTGTGCCAGCCTGGTGACAGTGGAGGCAAGAGAGAGAAACCAGCCCCCGGATCCGGCACCGCGTTCCCGCATACGATTTTGCGGCATGAGGCCAGATTCGTGCCGAAATGGCGTGGCATCTACGGCAGGATTGGTCCCCTCTGTCTTCCGGGAGGCCTTGTTTATCAGATGCAGATGCAGATGTAAACCACGAGGTTGGTGATACGAAGTCGAAGCTCGTCGTGTGGTGGTAAATCGTACCCACGCTTTGTCATGGGGATGTCAGACTAACATGATGAATTCTCGCCGCATGGTGTGCCCGACTGTCAATATCATGATGCGACACAGGTGAGCCTTGTCAGAACAAGTTGTAGCTTCTAAGGCAGTCTGGGCAGCGCATATGATTGAGCTCTTGCCGAAAGTCGGCGAGGTTTGTGAATATGGGGCCCCGGTCTCCGATCGGGAAGCTTCAGGCGGGCTTGAACTTGAAGGTTTTCGGCGTTCCGGGGGTGGTGGGATGAATGAGCGGCGGGGAATATCGTGGCACACCTATTCCATCGTCTCCTAGCCACCCGTCCTTTTCTTCTGCGAAGCATTACTGAACAGAAGCGAGTAATTATTTCTCCGGGATCCTCCAAAACAGTTGAACCAACTACTGCTTGTGGCGGGGTTCTGGAAAACAAGTGCCGCAATATTCTGCCTCTTTGCCCAGGTGGCGCATCTAGGCTGATGTTTCGAGATAACCATGGTACCAGAAGGTAGAACTTGGAAGCTTGCCCGCCACCCCTGCGGCTCCGGTTGTTTGGATGCATGCGACCATTGCCTCGAGCGTTGCCGAATGGGGCTTAAGTGCTCTCCGACGTGACCACGGCCATGGATTCGCACGGTTTCTCTTGCTGGTGCTGATAGAAGCCAGGATGCTGAGGATTTCGTCCGGTGTTCCTTTCTTTGCTAAGACGATAGCTTCGATTTACCGGACATGGGATGTGTTGAAGACCAGGATGACAAGCGTGTGTGTCCAAGGCAGAGCAACTCGGAGGGTGACAGTGGCAGGCACACACACAATTAACAGAAAGCGGCCCAAGAGCCAAAACAGCACGACCAAGTCGGTAAAGCACTGCCGCATGTGTTTGGCGCCGGTGCTCCTGCCCTGGGAAGGGGAAGGCTCGTCGATGCTCACAAATCAAAATCAATGGTTCCCAACCAGCAAAAGGGGACATACCCCTTTGCAGCAAGAGGGTAAGGTACGGTAGTCAGGGAGAGCGTTGAGGGTGTAACCTGATGCGGCGGCTCAGGCCATGATGGGGGAATTGCAACGGGGGGGCTTTTCCCATAGTAGCGGCAACGCTAACACGCATTTTGTCGCGGTGCTATGCTGTTATCGGCGCGCCAGGCGAGTGCGTGTATGGTGAGTTTGAACTGGTGTGTTTGGTGGGTGTGAGTGCGGGTGAGAACGTGGGAGAGGAGCAGTTCCATGACGAGAACAACGACGGACGCGATCCGGCTGCTGGACTGAATGCCTATGCAGATGGACGTGGCCTGGTATCTGGTGTAGATGAATCATGGACGTGAGCCGAGAGAACCGGGCAGAATGGAGTGTAATGGACCAGAAATGACTCGGCGTGCCAGCGGGCTCTGGCCTCCAGGTAACCCGCTCCGGGACCGTACTTGTCTATCAGCGTCAGCCCGTTTGGGCGGGCAACGACACCAAGCAAGAGATACGAAAAATAGGCCGGAAAGCGGTGCGAGTAAAAAGGTACGTATTCGAAGTCCGGGGCAAGATGAGAGCAGTCGCTGACAGCCCGGCAAACAATGGGATATCCAGGCGCCATGTCCACGGCTAAGTGAGGTAAAGTATCATATAGTAGACTTGTTATTAATGTCGTTTGCGCCCCCGAAACAACCGGCGCCCCCGGCCATGGTGTTCCTGACCTCGTATAGAGTGACTACCTCTCTGCAAACAATATTGTTGAGGGATAGCCTGTGAGAGGTGACTGAGAGCCAACTCGTAACCAGAGAACAAGCAGGACTTCAATGCCGGATGAGGATAAGACGAGGAGACGGTAGCAACCGGCCAGAAGGATGCGAGAAGAACCGAATGCTTGTGAGATAGACTTGGTGTCATTAGTATGAGAGCGAGTGAGTACGAGTGACATGAGGTGTTCTCAGCACAGCAACAATGGCCCCAGAGACCGAGAGGCAGGATAAGACGGACGAAACGTGGCCGCCTTGCACGCAAGAACAAGCGAGTGTGAAATGTCCGTAAAACAAATGTCAATGTGGAGGTTTCTGTCTGATGGTGGATGCATTCACGACTCAGACATTTTTTGGGAACAATCAGCAAAGTGGGCGGAATAAGATAAGCAACAAGATTGAAGGGGTTGATTTAGACGTCAAAATGTCCAACCACGTTAAAGCTTTTGGATTCCCCGGAGCCGCGGGAATTGGACTGCAGTCAAGGCTCAAACATGACGCTGCAGCGCGCATCTCCGACATCGTATTCACTACGGCATGGTGTGTGTTGTTCTGTGAGTGTGTTGCCTCACTCGAGGCGGATCAATTGTCCATCCACCCACCCATCCATCCATCCATCCCTCACCGATTGAATGAGCGAATGGGTGACAGCGAGGGCGGGCGGTAAAGCAAAATAGCATGTTCCAAAGTTGGCAGTGTAAATTGGATCCGTGGAGGCGCCCACCCTTGCTTGTGTCTGGTATTTTAGCGACGAGATCATCGCTGTGGGGGAGAACTCTGTCGCTGTTCCAGCGCTTGACTTCAGCTGATGTTGTACCCGGGGGTTTGGGGTATCGGAGTTGGGGGGTTTTTGGGGAGAGCTTGAAGGCCTTGGGTGAGGGGGAAAGGGAGAGAATTTGAGTGAGAGACAGAGACAGCCGCTGAAGGCAGCTGAGAAGATGTCGGGCTACGGCAAGGAATGCAGGCATCATGCCTCCCGGGTACGCATGTCTAGTTTGTGTTGCCAGGCACGGCACAAGCGGCCAGAGAGACAACGTATCCATCCGTATCCAGCTGTTTTTTATGTTGTTTTTGTGCCATGCCAGATCCACCTATCAACGAGCATAGAGACAAAAGAAGTCAAGCGCTTGCTGGTCTGTGCTTTCTGGAGCTTGAGAGTGGAGAGTGACGACATTCAACATGGGCTCAGGGGATTAGGGGTGTGAAAGGAGCAGGGGGTTCTTGAAGGTGCATCTTGGGAGTGACAGATCATCCATCACTCATTCGAGTCTCCCTCTCACTCAATTCCGAGACCCATACTGTGTAGATGGAGAACAAAAGATAATGAAGAAGAAGAAGGATGGAGTTGGCGGCGGTGATAGGCATGTGGCTGCCGCCGCGATGCCTGCCGCTTAGACAGCATTGATGGGATTGACAGACTCTCAGTCATTTCGACACGGCGGCGGGAGGAACGCAAGATTGAGATTGACGGACGCCGCGTCTGCTCATCCACTCACACAGCAGCATCGTTGGTTCGTTCTCGGGCACTTCTGTCGGTCCGTCCGCATGCTGCGTTTGATTTGGATGTTCGTCGAGACCCCTGCAAGCTCGACTAACAGTGCGCTGCTCACGACGCCACAGCCGGTCTAAGCTACATCAGGCCGAGCTCGGGATGGATGCGCCGGGCGCGCGCGAAGCGGGACTCCTTGGGCCATTCTGCTGACCGGGATGTCGTGTCGACTTCAGTGCCAATGGTGGGGGGTTTGTGGTCTTGGCACCTCTCTCGCTGATTGTCCGTCGACTGGAGATAATTAATTCCCCTGCCGTAGGGCAGCTTGAGAGTCAGGGAAACCAGGTCCAAGATGGCGAGGACGGCGAAGGGTCGGCGAGCATTATATACGCAGGGCGAAAAGACGAAAGTGCCCTTTTGGTGCTGACTGAAGTACGAAGTATTACCTTCCGCTTGTTGCACCTGGTTATCTTTATGCAAGTTGTGTCGTCGTGAGGAAGGGCTTGTTATGCGGTTGGACACAAGTGGCATAGCCGGGATATCTACTGTGTATACGGAGTATCGCTCTCTGCTGTATCTTTGTTAGCTTGCGGCTTTCACAAGACAGGCAGGAGGCGCACTTGCTGCTATCCCAATCGCAGGGCTCATGGCCGGCCGGCCGTCCACTGATCCGGATTGGATGCGAATGCAACGGTAAAGTTGCAACGTCGTTACACACATGCTTGGGTACCATGTGCGCGGTGATGGTCTTTGATATTTCTTCTGGCACCTCTTATTAGGACAGTACTCCTTAGAGTATCCATAGCTTGAGGTACTATGGGCGGCACGCGTCCACATATCGAGAGGGTTGTGGTTTGTCGCTGAGCGTGTTCCACCGACCGCCACCAGCACCGAGTTTGTCTCTGGCGGGCCATTCGCAAGCTCGCACGCGGACGCAACGCACAACATGCGTGAGGATGATCCACCGGGTCCTGCTGTTGGGTTTCTCAGCTGTCGTGTTCCACTCTGATACTTGGAGAGAAGAGCATTGGCATTGGCACGTCCAATCGGATGAAAGATGCGATGGCCTGTTATGTTCTTGGGTGCAATTGGGATCGATGAGCATTGTAAGGGAAACACACAGAGAAACACACAGAGCGAAGAAAGAGCCCAGAGAACGTGATCGAGGTGAGCTGAGGTGAGGAGAGAGAGTGTGTGTGTGGACTTTGGACTGTTCGCAGTATCTACATAGGTAGTACTCAGTACACAGCAGAAGCAAGAACCACCCACCCCCGTGCTGGTTCCTTCCTGGCCCTGGTCGCAATCAAATGGGGTCGTGTCCTTCCTGCCTGGTCCTGGTTTGATGGCCCCACTCCAGTCACGTCAAATCCACTTTTTGTTTTTTTTTCTCTCCTTCTGCAAGGCAAGTTCCAACCACCCGCTCGTTGGGCTTTCCTTCCAATGTTGCAACTTTGCCGGTGCTGGTTGGCAGGTGCTGCAGCCTGCCAGTGACTGCTGCTGCGTGCGTCGTTCTTGGCTTTTGGTGGTCGTTGCTCGGCTCGTGCTCGCCTCATTCGTCTTCCACACACGGACAGTTGCCATCCCATCATCCCAAGAAATCCACTCCATCACCGTCTTGTCTCTAGCGTCTAATCCTCCTCTCCCCCCGTCGTCCTCCTCGGATTTCCCAATTGTGCCATTCTAAATTTCTACTGATACTCCCCATGCTCATGCCAATTCATGATCATCCATGGTATCCGTAGCCACCGTGACACGCCCCCCCCCTTCCATCCACGATCCCTACCTCTTCTCGCTCCCAGAAAACAACCCGCAGCCGTGACCTGGCTTCTGCCTCTTTACCTGTAACTCCTCTTCCTCGATCCACCTTCTTTTTCGATATTGGAATCTTCTCTCCTTCTCTCTTCTTCCTTGCCTGCCTAGCTAGACTCCCTTCGTTTCCCTTATCCTTTTCTTGTCATTATCGTCAACTTTTTCTTCTCTACGCTATTCCTAGTGTTCCCACCCGTTCTCTGCCTCCGCCTTCGCGCCTTTGTCTCTGTTGGTGAACTTGGTGAAGCAAGCATCCCCCGGCAAGACCGACAAGAGACACACTCATAAATCTCTGTCTTCGTACCTACGCAGTATTCGCACTCCGTCCAGATACAGAGGGGGAATACACCACCACTCCATCACAATCGCTTCGCTGCAGCTCTTGCCTGCACCCAGTCTCTCGTTTCCCTCCCCGGCCCTTGCTTGCTTGGGTCTTGGGTCCTGGGTCTTACTCCTAGCTAGCTACCTTAAGGTGCCGTCGCTGCTAGCCTGCTGCATTTGCCCTGTTGCCGATGCCGTTGTAGCTGCAGATACCGGTTAATACCTTACGAATTGCATTCTGCTGCTTCTGCTGCTCGGCACCAACCACCAATTCCACCTCGCTCGCTCGCTCGCTTGTCCACTCTCTTCCCTGCTCTTGCGGCTTGCCTCCTTCCCTTCGCTTCCTTCCTCTTGGCGCCTGCTTCTTTTCTACCCGGGGCTGCCTGACCATCACCACTTCTCCAACATCACCCTCACTTCACCTCTTTCCTCCACACCTTCTCCTCCTTCCCTCCTCCTCACTCTCTTCCCCTCCCCTCCACCATCCGGGCCACGACCTCATCAACGCAAGGCCGACAACCTTCTGGACGACAAAGACAGCATCGGCCCTGACTGATTGACAGACCCTGCGCATCCCTGACCCTCAGGCCACACCTTAATCGAGGGAACAAGGACGCTGTTCATTAATAAAAAGAGGGAGGACCATAATTATACTCGGACTCTTGCGCACCCGGTCGTCTCGTTGCTCTTGTCTCAAAAGGTCCCCAATTCTTATCCTCAATCATCGCGCTAGTTGTCTCTAGGGGCAATCATCTCAGTCACTGGTCCATCGGTGCTTGGCTACTCTCGGCTGCCAGTAATTATTCGCCGCGTTCACTCTTGGGTTTTCACATCCGAACCCTTTCGCCCTCTTTCCCCATTCACACTTGGCGCCAACAAATCTCGTACCAAACGCCACGGCCCGGCCTACTTACCTTCCCATTCTCTCTCTCCCACCTCCCGGCCTCAACCTCATTCGAGTCGGCACCTATTTTGCGGCTTTCACCCTTCCAGTTTCAAGCAACGATAGTCGATACTCGAAATTCGGACCAGCTGCGGACGACTCTCAAGGGCATCGTCAACGACTCCTGCGGTCTCCCGCTTGCCTGCGTGGTCGTGTAGGACTAGGACAGGCACAGCATCTTACCTTTGGGAGCACCTTTTAACCTTTCCTCCCGCCGCCCACCGACCGATCCAGACGTCAGATGTCAGCCCCGTGAGCGTCTGACTCCAGCAAATGTAAGTCCAGAGTCCTGAGAAGCCCAGCCATTGGTTACGAGTTTATTTTGTGAACCTAAAATCACTTCTTCCCCCTCAATCTCGAATGTCTATACTGACCGAAAATCTCTCAGTACAATTGTCTATCGGGACGGATCCATCATGACTTTCACCCAACGAACGACGAGATGCTTGGGCATCTTTGCCTTGGCGCTATCATCATGGGCGACAATGGCACAGGCTGCGCCAGAACCCGAAATCCTCATGCCTCGACAATTGACGCAGAACCTCTGCTCTAATACGAACACGGCATCCATGAGCGCAAGTACGTTGGAGTCCTTCCAAGAAGACATGACATGGCAACGCTACTTGAGGCTTTCAACATCCTCAGCCAGCTCTGCCTTTGCCTTCCTCTGCCCACGCGCATGCAATGGCTAATTCACATCTATTATAGATCTCAGCACATGGCAGACGAATGGACTATGCACCGACTTCTGTCGAGACAAGAACTACGCCTTTGCCATTGTCCAGTGGCAGTCCTGCTGGTGCTCTGATGTCGCGCCGGCCGCGTCCAGCGAAGCCGAAGTGAGCGACAAATGCAATGATATCTGTCCCGGCTACGACATCGAGCACTGCGGCTCAAGGCCCAACTACTACGGATACCTGACGCTGGCGAAGACTCCTACCAGCACTGCCGGCAGCGGAGGTGACAGCTCGTCATCGTCCAAGGCAGCAGCCAGCACTACTACACAAGTGAGTACAATCCCCTCAGCCATGTATCGTGAATTGCATGCGTGATTCTGCGTGATCTCCATACCCTACACGATCCCGAACCTCATCCCCAGACTCCATCGTCTCACCTCCACCACGTGTGATGCCTTGGCTTAATCGTCTGGAAACCAGGCCCCTCCGGCCCCGCCTGCAACAACCGTACAAGTCATCACAACAGTAAAAACTGAGACAATTCAGAACACAGTCACGCCCGATCCGGAAACGACGACTACGTCAACAACATCTGTATGCTCTCAAAAGTCCCAACAACATGCCGTGCCCGTAAACCTGCATTTGACAAATGAGGGGGTGTGTCACTGACACGAGCAAACGCTGACTGAAAATCCAGACTTCGAGTAGTAGCAAACCGAGATCGACGGTTCAAACGGTGACAGCCGACGGAACCGTGAGGACCATCTTCGTTACGCCGACTGCCACGGGCACCGAGGGAGCAACGGGCGCCTCCGAACTGACGCCCGGCAGCCAATCGTCGTCGAATGGACCCAGCACCGGTGCTGTTGTTGGAATCGTGGTCGGTGTTATTGCCGCTGTTGTGGCCATTGCAGGACTGGGACTCTTCTTGTTCTTCAGACGTCGGAGACAGCAGCAAAACGAGAACGACAAGTACGACGAGCCTAGCCATCGTGGTAGTTCCGCCGGCATGACCGGCTCGCCACGAAACCCCGAAATGGTTGTCACTGTTGATGGAGGACGATGGGATCCCGACGCCTCAAGCGATCATCGCCGGAGCCGCCTTCTCGCTCATGACCCTCGCCTGGATCCTCTTCCGAGAGGCCTCTACGTGCACAACAAGAGTGCAGAGAGTATTAATACCCTACGCGACGACCAAGATTACTCCCGCAAGGTTCATCAACCAGTCTTGCGGGCGACCAATCCGGATCCTGACACTTGAAGGTCGATGGATTGATCGGGCGGACCAAGACAACGAGATGTCATACACTCGTTTACGACGTACACGAATTCGGTCCAGGTACCAATTTTCGGTCTTCGCATTGCGTTTTTGAGATACCAGGACGGCGTTTCCATTCATTTAACGACTCTGCATAGAAGGATTCTGGATTGGGTGGCCCTCGCGGCAACACCAGGCGTGATAAGGTTGATCAGTTAGGATCGACATCCGCCGCAGTACATTATGGGCATAAGGCCACTGAACACGAACACATCACATGGGCAACACGAACGCAGAGGACGACGGCTGCCATAATTTCAATTCTCAATCTCCCCTTTCAACTGGCGGTTTGGGAGTTGTCGACAGCCCAAAGGCGATCCTCCACATCGGCGGGGTTTCTTTACAAGGCAGAGCCAAGTGATCGTAGACGAAGAGCCCTGCCTTCCCAGTACGAGAGTCGGGCTACGATTCTTAGGGTATGACGATGGCGGCATTTGTACATACACGAGCGGGCCATGAGCCA